ATTCCATAAAATCCCATTTCAGTTCAATTTTTCCATCTTCTAATTGAAACTAGCAAGCCATCATTTTTTTTTTTTGCTAACGATTTACTGTGAATATGTTTTCTCAGGATTTTTTGGAGGATTTATGGGACCGGATACAAGTTCTATCTACTAATGGTTGGAAACTTGACAGTGGTAGGTGCCTTATTTCTTGGTTTTTTAACGTTAATTTCTCTTTTTGTTTTACTTTTAGGTTTGGAAACTTGGTTGTTCTTTTCCTCGTGTTCGTATAAAATGGGAAAAATTCTATTGTTTTGCCGTTTCTATTAATGAGTATGCAGATTACCAATTTTATTGTGATTTTTTTTTTCTCTTGTTAAATTACCTTTGTGGTGGTTTTCATTTGTTTCTTTTCTGATAATTACATTCTGTGGTTTCTTGCCAGTCCCTAGGCCTCACCTCTCTTTTGAAGCACAGCTAGTTGCTGGAAAGTCCCACGAGTTCGGGTCCATTAACTGTCCTGATCAACCGGGTCTGCCTTCAACAACTTCTAGTGCAAGTTATGGTAAACAAAAGCATGATGCGGAATTGAGATATCCTCAAAGGATACGCCGGCTTAATATATTCCCTCCAAGTAAAAGTGAGGTAGTTTTCAATCTTAGATGTGAACAATCTCTTTGTAATTTTCTCTCCTTTGCAAATGTATGTGCTTGCTGCTGCTGATACTCTTTTTCTGCAGTTGTTTTTGTTCGTTTAAGAAACTCAGGATGAGTAATGTTTGTGAATTACAGGATATACAACCCATAGATCGCTTTGTCATGGAAGAATATCTGCTGGATGTGCTGTATTTCTTCAATGGCTGGTTTGTAACACCATCAACCCATTAGTTTAAGACAAATCGATTTCAATGACGTGTTTGGTTTAATTACTTTCAATTACTTTTATACTTCTGCCCAAGTTTTTTAGCATAAAACCGTTAGGTAAAGTAATAGTGTAATACAAAGATGATGCACACCTCATCAAAACAAAAAACAAAAAAAAAACAAAAAACAAAAAAAAAACAAAAAACAAAAAAACAAAAACAAAAACAAAGGTGATGC